AAAGTCACTGTTTAATCGAAAATCACGGTCCTCAGTTTTTTTCTCTCATTAACACAGGTGCTGCAGGATCTGTTTATGTGGTGCACACACACCACATATGTATTCTCTCATATCTTGGCCCAAATGTACTACTCACAGTTTAGCATAGTGATCAGAACTCATGCGTAATTCTACGGTTTGGCACTCACCATAAAGCCGTAGATCTACAGTACGGACCCGAAGGGTTAACTTGTTTTTCAACTCGCTCTCAAAATTTTTTCTTAATTTCATTAAAATTTCTTGACAGTGCCTCTCCCACTCTAATCATCTGCTCTCCTTTGCACTTCCCCTCCCCTCTCCCCCCAAACCCCAACCTCTCTTTACCTTTCTTTTACTCTCCATATAGTCAGCACTTCTTTAACACTTCTGCTTTGGTAAAAACCTCTCATAGGCTAACTTTTTCTCTATTATCACACCCTATACTTCATCAGTCCACCAATCAACCCTCCTTCCTCCTGCCCCCACCCTCTTATAACCACAAACTTCTGCCCCACATTCTAATACTGCATTTTTAAAACGCATCCAACCCTCCTCAACCCCCCCACTAATCCTCTTTGCACTAGCCCACCTTTCTGCCAATAGTCGCTTATATCTCGCCCGAACTTCCTCCTCCCTTAGTTTATTAACTCTTCACTTCCTCCTACTTGTTTGAAAGGAATTCAAGGAGTACATAGACAGTGAAGAACTGAAATCTGAACAAGTGTTTAATTTGGGGTTGAGACAGCCAAGGGGTTTAGAAAAATATAGTATAATATGGAACTCCAACTTACACCACTTCCCTAAGATGTGCAGAGCCTCTGACAGCGTCACCTAATGATCAACATGGAAGATGATAGGTCGTAAGACATCATACAGCCCTGTGCAAAGTCCTTGAAGTAACACATCAAGTCAGAGTCCCAAGCGAAAAGAACTAGAAATTTCCTATTTCATTATTAGAAGAAATTGTAATAATTTTTTAAAAAATTTATCACATAAAACATACAAGGACAACCTTAAAATTTATGGGAAACAAAACTTAGATAGCTCCAACTACAGTGGAACCTTGGTTTTCGTCATTATTTCGTTCCAGAAAGTTTGACGAAAACTGAAGCAATATTTCCCATAAGAAATAATGTAAATAAATTAACCCGCTCCAAACACCCAAAAGTATTATCCAAAAAATACATTTTGGGGAGAGATAACTATAGCCTTTACATACAGAACACAATGAGAAATAATATAAAGGACTTTATATATACATATATATATACAGTGGACCCTCGGAGTAACGATATTTTTTTCCTCCAGAAGTATGTTCAGGTGCCAGTACTGGTCAATTTGTTACCCAAAGATAATATTGTGAAGTAGATTAGTCCATTCAGTCCCACAAACATACACAAACAAACCACTTACATAAATATACTTACATATTTGTCGCATTCGAGGTAATCGTTTATCGGGGGTCCACTGTATATATATTAAAAATAAGATATATAAATTATATAATATATATAAAATTAATATATATATATATATATATAAATATTTATATACATATATATACATATATACATATATTATATAACATATATACCAATATACATATACAAAAATATATACATATATATATATAAACATATACATATATATAAACATATAAATATATATTCATATATATATACATATATATATATAATATAGAATATATATCAATATATACAATCTATATAAACAATATATATAAATATATATATATGATATATATATATAAATATATATATATATATATACATATATATATACATATAATATATACATATATTATATATATATATACATATATATATACATATATATATATATATACACATATATATACATAAATATATATATATAAATATACCTATATATATACATAAAATATAATATCCACATATATATATAACATAAATATATATATATATACATATATATATTATATATATATATAAATATATTAATATATCTATATATACATATAAACAACTATATATATATATATATATATAAAGAGATACATAAATATATATACATTTATATAACATATATATATATACATACATATATATATATATAATATATATATATATATAAATATATATAATATAATATATATATATCATATATATATATATATATATATATATATATATATACAAAATATACATACATATATATAATATATATATATACATATACATATACATATATATATATATATACATATATATATATAATAATATATATACATATACATATATATATATAATACATATATATATATATAAAACAAATATATTATATACATATACATATAATATTATATATATACATTATATTTATACAAATATATATATATATATATACATATATATATATACAAAGATATATATATATATATTTATATACATATAGATATATATATAATATATATAAATATATTTAGATATATATATATATATATAAATATATAGATATATATATTTATATAGGATACATACATATATATATATATACATATATAATACATATACATAAATAATATATATATACATAAATATATATATATACATATATATATATATATATATATACATATATAATATATATATACATATATATATATATATAACATAAGAATATATATATATACAAATATATTAAAGTATATACATATATAGATATATATACATATATATATATATATATATAAACATATATATAACATATATATATTATATATACATATAATACATATATATATCCATATATATACATATATATATATATAGACATATATATACAATATACATACAATATAATATATATAATATATACATATATATATAAAAACAAACACACACAACACAAAATAAGATCACAGTAAACAGGTGATTTTAAAATATGCAAAACAACCACTGTGAAAGAGTAGTGAAATTCCAAGAGCTTTCTTGACTGCTCACATTGTCAAGGAAATATGAAAGTAATACATCAAAGGAAGGCAATTAAAGGGCTTAGACTACACCTCACAGTCAACCCTCACAACAAAGAAACACCTGACGCGCGACAATACTGGACTCATAAGAAAAGAGGAACACTGCAGTAGGTCTGCTGGCCCAACTAGACTGGTCCTCACATCCCACTAACAAAATATTCTACCCAAGAAATAAGGTTTATTATTTGTCCAATGTATTATTAAACTTTAAACAAATTTTATTAATTATAAATGAGTCTAATTTACATAAACCTAAGGAAATATTCATATTATTTTCAAAACTGCTTTTTATGAAACAAGATTCAATTATATTTCTGTCAACCATGGACTTGCTTGATACAACTTTCTCAACTTTTTGAAAATCAATTGGATGGCTAAAATCTCTCACATGAATAAATAGAGCATTGGAATCTTGTCCAGTTCTAATGCTATATTTATGTTGTTTTAATCTAAGTTCGAGATTTTTACCAATTTGACCGTAATAAACTTTATCGCAAATTTTACAAGGAATCTTATAGACACATCCGTCTGCATTTTGGGGGGGAATTCTTTATCAAAAGTTTTTTTTACTGCATCAAGATTTTTAAATACAACTTTAATATTAAAAGTCTTAAGAAGAGAAGGCATATCAACCAAGTTTTCATGGTAAGGGAGAACCAACATATTTTTAGTTGAATAAGGTTGGTTGTCCCTTTTTGGGTTGTAAAAAGTATTTCTAGCAATTTTAAATGATTTATCAATTACATTTCTCGGGTATCTCAGATCAATGGCTATTTCATAAATTTTGGATATATCTTCATCTGTGAACTAAACATAATCTTTGAATTTATACATTTACATTCCTTCTTTTCCTGTCCTAACTCATCCTTCAAGATTATTGCTACTCCTTCCTTAGCTCTAACTCTATTAGAAACCTCTGAGCTAATCTCATTTATTTCTCCCCACTGAAACTCTCCTAGCCCCTTCAGCTGTGCTTCACTTAAAGCCATAACATTCATAACATCCACAATCATCTCTTTCTTATCATTTGCACTACATCCACGCACATTCAAACATCCCACTTCCACGGTTTTCTTCTTCTTCTTTTTAGTAAGCTATATGGGAAAAGGGATTACTAGCCCATTGCTCCCATCATTTTAGTTGACTTTTACAAAATACATGGCTTACAGAGGACAGATTCTTACTCCACTTCCCCATGAGTATGAAAGAAAAAGTAATATGAAGAAGAGCTATTAAGATAAAACCAAAAAAAATTCAGATGAGTGTGTATGCATAAAGAGGTACATGCATGTATAGTGTGACATAAATGTAAGTAGAAGTAGCAAGAAGTACCTGAAATCTTGTATGTTTCTTCTTTCTTTCAACGCACCAGCCGTATCCCACTGAGGTTGGGTGGCCCAAAAGACAAAACAAAAGTTTCTCCTTTTAAATTTAGTAATATATACAGGAGAAGGGATTACTAGCCCCTTGCTCCCGGCATTTTAGTCGCCTCTTACGACACACATAGCCTACGGAGGAAGAATTCTGTTCCACTTCCCCATGGAGATAAGAGGAAATAAACAAGAACAAGAACTAGAAAGAAAATAGAAGAAAACCCAGAGGGGTATGTATATATATGCTTGTACATGTATGTGTAGTGTGACCTAAGTGTAAGTAGAAGTAGCAAGACATGCCTAAAACCTTGCATGTTTATGAGACAGAAAAAAGGACACCAGCAATCCTAGTATCAAGTAAAACAAATACAGGCTTCCATTTTACACCTACTTGGCAGTACGGTAGTACCTCCCTGGGTGGTTACTGTCTACCAACCTACTACCTCTTTTACATATCTTCCCTAATTATCAATGTCAATGCAAACAAACATCTACATAATAACGAAAGTTCTTAAATTATAGACATTTAATGCATGCATCATGCAGCTGAAGCAACCACATTTCAATGTCCTCACCTGATGGAAAAGTGCATGTTCATCTTCACACACATGGATGAGAAAGGCACATCCGCTTCTCACTAACGTGCAATAATCTCGTTCATATTTCTGTGATAACTGAGAAACTGCATCAGCAACACAAGGTCCCATTAGTCTTTGTCGCTGAGCAAAGTAACACTGGTGGCAGTCACTAAGAAGATTTGTGTACTCAGGGCTATTTTCAACTCTGTCTTCAATTTCTGCCATTAGCGACTTGATCCTAGGGGCATTAGTCCGAAATTTTCCATAATAAAGAACAGCAGCATTATCAGTTGTAGGTTTTTCTATTCCAGGTTTACTTAAAACTTGCTGGGTAGCATTTTCTAAAGATTTTGTAACATACGACTTTACCATACCAAGAGCCCTACTCAAACAATGCTTATACTTTGCTAAATATAGAGAAGATTCTTGAAATGTTTGGTTTGAATTCATATAACCAATACATTCATCAATTTTGGCTAACAATGGGATAAATCCTTCACTTGTTACTTGAAAAGCTGGAGAGTTGAGCTTCTGGCTGATTCTATCTACCTCCTTAAAGTAAGTCAGTTTACTTTCAATGGTGTCAGCTTTGTTGGTGAGTTGTGTCTGCTCTGCCAACAAGTGCTCACAATCAGTGTGGAGGGCACCTGTCTTATTGGACACACTTGTATACTGAAAGGGAAAATCAGATTTGATAATTTTTTAATGTTAAAATTTAACTTGTTAAACTATAAAAGTAGGTTTACTGTGAATTTTTAATTCACTAATTAAAAATAAGTTGCATAAAAGCAGTATTTTAACTAGTTAAAAATTAGACAAAGATCTTAATGAGAGAACAATGGGTCAAGTAAAAATTATAATACCTGAATAGTATTATTTTAACAATTTAAATGTTGGTCAGAGATCAATTTCTGGAAATACACAAATGTAGGAGAGAGGAGCTGATTGAAAGACATGATTGAAAAGAAATGATTGAAAGACAGCATTATGAAAACTAATGTTATGGATATAATTAAAAATAATTCTAATTGATCAACTGGCCTAGGTCACCCATAAACTGTCCAAACGTAGATCTATGTTCACTCGCGTAGCGCTCTGAACGTAGATCTACATTCGATTTTACATGCTTTCTTATGTAAAAAAAAAAGTAGATCTATGTTCAGAGCATTACACGAGTGAACGTAGATCTATGTTTGGGCAGTTTAAGGGTTAAGTGCAGTGGGTGAAACAGAAAGTGGTACCTAATAAAATAATTCTTTTCTTTGTTTACATCTACACTACACGACCTCTTAAACAAATATTGTTATCTTAGTCCTTATTTATTTTTTGCCTAGTGCCTTTCGATATCTTTAGTAATTCTTCTCAGACCATGTCCATGGCTAAGCATACTCCAACTGCCAATGATGTTCAGTCCTGAAAAAGTCTGAATTTACAATACAGTATATTATGACCCTATAATAATGATAGTAATACGTAATTATAAAAATTAACAACCAATAAGTTTCAAAGGGTTCCCAAAAGATACATAAAATTCTTGAAATGTCCATTTGAAACTTTAAGCAATCAGGGGCCAAGAACCCTGTTTCTCATTTACTAATAACCCTAACTTCTTAAATTTTTTTTTGCACACAGTGGTAATGCTGCAAAACTTAGATACTGCAAATTTCATACAAATTTGTTGAAAAACAAATTTCCTTCCTGGAAATTTTTGGTGTATTTTTGGACCATAGTTAAAACACACCCTAACTGACTTAACTGTTCACAATCGTTATATGAAAACACTGATAAATAATTAAAAATTCCCAAAAGTTAAAAAATTTCAATTAAAATTCTAGCTTAGAAAATTCTTAAAAAATATACTGCACATAAATACAGTAATCCTGCCTCGGCAGGACGCGGCCGGTGCGTTGAAAGAAGAAATACAGTAATACTGATAATATTTACACACATTTTGTAGAATTATCATTTATCCATAAAGTTTGGCTTCAGGCAAAACAAAAGCATAAACAAAGCAACTGTAAAAATGCTAGACCTACTGTATGCAGTTCTTGAAAATAATGAATATCCACTGGGACTCTTTATCAACCTAAGGAAAGCTTTTGATGCAGCAGACCACAGCATCCTGTATCACAAACTTGATCATTATGGTATCAAAGGTCATGCACTTGAATATATAAAGTCTTACCTTACTAACAGACAGCAATACATGAACATCTCTATTAAAGATACAACCTCTTTAACCCTTTGACTGTTTCAGGCCCCTTTCTGAAACTGTCATTCTATGTCGCTCAATTTTTGAAAAAAAAAAAAAAAAAAAAAAAAAAATCTTATGAAATGATAGAGAATCTTTTCCCGATGGTAATGACATCAAAAGTTCGAAATTTGGTTGAAAACTCATGGAATTATGCTCCCGCGAAGTTAGCGGTCTCGGTGACATATGCGTATCGGTGATTTCGCCGACTTTGAGCCCTATTTTCAGCCAATTCCATTGTTCCAGTTGACCAAACTCATAGCTATTTCTTTAGAACTCCATTTTATCTATCAGCTGAGTACAAGAAACCTCCCATTTACTAATTTGGACTACCCAATATGGTGGTCAGAAATTGGCAATTTGGCCAATTCCACGCAAACTAAAAAAGATGCCAATTTCAAATTAGGGTCCAGAATAAACAAGGTAGACATTCGTGGCACTAAAATAACATATGCTCTGTTCATTAGTCACATCTCTAGGCCCCTCTTAAATTATTATTGCTTTCTATTTTTATTTTTTATTCATACAAAAAAATACAAAATTTACTGTTATGCAGACTACTGCATTATTGTAAAAATAGTATAAATAATATCAGTGCACTAGTGAAAGAATATCAGACTCCCCAGTTGATGTGTATTGGACGTGTGGTGTGATTTATTTACTCCTGAACATTGGTAAAAATCGAACATTTCCGCTACTTTGAGCTCAGTTTCAAGGTCGTTTTCTTCGTCAAAGTAATGAAAATCATCTCTATTTCTGTAATATGTTTTCCATTTTATCACCTAAGACCATGAAAACGTGAATACAACGATAAATACTATACGAAAATACACCTCAAAGTCGGCGTTTTATTCCAAAAAAACGATCAGAGTTTTTTTTTCTCATTACGCAATGTGTGCTGCAGGATTTTTTTTATGTGGTGCACACTCACCACACAGACCCATTCTCTCACATGTGGGCCTACCAGCTTTCTCCCGCTTGATTTGAAGCCACTAGAATTATTGAGTATATATACGTCAGAAACATTGGCTCGTAAGATGTATTTATACGTCGAAAACAGTCAAAGGGTTAACAAGACCTCTGGATGTTGCAGTTCCACAGGAAAGCATCCCTGGCCCTCTGCTTTTCCTCTTATACATCAACAATCTTCCAAATGTACTGCAGCAACTTAGATCTATTCTTTTTGCCAACTACACAACTTTTGTCATCTCCCACCAAAATCCAGCATCACTCAACAACATTGTTAATGAAGAGCTCCTAAAAATATTAACCTGGATGACTACCAATAAACTCACACTCTACATTATGTTTGGGAGCAAAACAAGTAATGTCCAACTAAACTTTGATTAAAAATACTTGTAATGCTAAATATAATGAGGGGAAAATTTCTGGATCTGCACTTTGACAGCAACTTGAAATTTAATACCCATATCCAACACATTACAAAAAAAAGTGTATAAAGCAGTTGGCAGCCTCTCCAAGATATGCTAGTATGTACCACAAACAGTGCTATTCACATTATACTGTGTACTCACTAATCTACCCCTACCAGACAACATCCCCCCACCCTACTCTTCAAAGGCCTAAATCTACTTACTATACAAAATAATAAATTCTAATATTAATCCTGACCCGAAGCACTTCCTTGATAGTTGCAACAGAACCCATAGACATAATACACTGAACATGAAAGTCCGGCTTAATCTTTGTAAGAACTCAATGCACATAAAAGGACCCAAGATCTGGAACTCCCTGTCAGAAATTTCCAGAACCACTCTCTCTGCCAGCATTTTCAAAACTACCATAAAAAAACACCTTCTTTCACTAACATACCTCAACAACAGACTATATAGTATTCGTATTCTCATTGCCACAAGCATATAGAAAACAATACAGTATTCTTATTCTTTGTAATCCTCACAACCATTAAATATACTGAATGTGTTCAAAATATCTCATCATGCTAGAATCCTCATTACTTGTAATCATAAGCCAAATTGTAATCCTTAAAACAATTAAACACGATAAATGCTATAGAGCATGTAATATTATTCAATTCTCTTGTATTCCTTAATTTCCAAATTTACTACAACCACTTAGAGACCATATATATTAGCAATTAATTAGTCATTGCCTTATAGTCTTAAGATAGGCTTAAGTTTGCCTGAAATGCTGTGCATACTTAGGAGTTTTTTGCATGCATGCCTAAATGTCACCCATCCCAGTACAAATATCGTACCATGCTGAAATTAAGAATCTTTAATCTTTAATTTATGAAAGATTCTAAAATATTTCACTATAGAAAGTGTGAAATCCCCTGAAATACTAAATAAAGTTGCAAAATACTTGTTGCACTAACAGAGTACAGTAAATTAATATCAATGAAATTATAGTTATTTTAAGAATTTATGTTATATTGTATGTACTATGTATAAAAATATTCAACGTTATGCTGAACACTTTACCTGGGATGAAAGATGCTGAAGGTTATCAAGGGCATGATCAAGCTGCGAAAGGAGTGTGTGACATTCAGAACGATGGGCTTCTAACTGATTTACATAGTCTCGGTAAGGTCCATCTTGCTCTTCACACATATCTCTCTCCACCTCAGCGAACCAAGACAGGAACTGGTAAATCAATGGGCAAGCTTATTAGATTCTATATAAATTTACAATACAGTGTGTAATTTTTCAGTCTATTTCTCAATAGATATAACAAATTTATAATACTATTGAGCTAATGAATTACCATAAGGATAAGAAGATTAAGAAATATATTTTTTCTGCTCAAAACAAGAACCATTCCTGTATATAAAGGTTAATTAGAGTGTGTTTTTCAAAATGGTTGTCTCCTTTAAGTGTTGATGCCTATATAACCTCTTAATCATGATCTCATAGCTACTACAGAAGAGTAATATTTATTCAATGCAACTTATCATTAACTTAATGAATCACCAATGCTGATATACATGTATATATATCCAATGTTTCCAAAATACATACAGTACAAACATGCATAAAAATACCTATCATTCTCTTAACCTGTATAGCTTGTCTATTAATGGGCTAAGTCTGCATTGGTCATACAGCTTTCTTGAATTGTGGAGAGAGTGCAGCTATTTCCACAGCTAACATGAAAAAAAGCTGTACTATGTGATTACAAACAGGAAGCACATCTGTCTCATGCTCAGCAGACAGAGGATCAAGCCTCCACTGCTTCTTGGGCTGAATGAGCCACATGGGTTTACCACTCAACATGAATTAAACAACTGTACTTACAGAGAATGTTGCAGTACTACCATTCCTAAAGTGGCAACTTTTAGAATTTTACTGGAACTGTAGAAATATTTACAAAGGTCTGAAAGTTAAGGGTTGTCTGCTCCATAACTGACTATTTCATCATGGATTTGTGATGTTACAAGGAGGACATCTGAGGTACTTAAAGTTAAAGCCATATGATTTTTAGATGAAGGCCTACTGCTATGACACATTCTTTTTTACTTTTTTTTTTTTAAATATTATATCCAAGTGAAGTTGTTTCATTGATTTTTATCTTTCTCTATGTAATTTTTCATGTATCAAATAAAAATTCATTAACTCTTGTTGTATCACAAAGGAACATTGCTCTAGCCCTTTGATTAATTCACCAGACAACTCAATTAACCCTTTGAGGGTCCATCCCGTAGTTCTACGGCATGAGCTCAGCTCACTCAGATAAGCTGTGAACGGTAAATTGGGGCCTAGATTTGAGAGAATGCAATGAACAGGAAACTTCTCCTATGAAGATAGCAGGTGAAGGCAATGAATTTACAGTCTGGAAAGATGTAGAATTAGGGGGATATGACTGAAGTGTACAAGTGAAAAATAGAAATTATAAAGACAATACATATAAATAAAATGCTGAAAATGTCTGATTAAGTTAGGACTCCCAATAATGGAAGTAAATTGTGTAAATTTAGATTAGGAAAGTACAGTATAAGAAAATATTGGTGTAGCAGAGAAGTTGTGGATGAGTGGAATAAACTACCAGTGGCATTACTAAAATGAGTACATATGTATATGCAATAATCACAAACAAATGATACAAGATGTAAAACAACCATGGGGGGAGTTGTGAGTCTCAGGGTATATGTAATTAAGATGAATACCATGTTTCATGAAAATCAGCCAAGAGAAGAAAATATCAAACATCGTCTCAGTTTGCAACATTTGTGTGTTGCAGGATAAATAATGGCAAAGTCAAAGGCAGTCTGGCCAATGATGAAGCAATACCAAATGGATATTTCTTCTTCTTTCAACAATCCGGCCGTATCCCGCCAAGGCAGGGTGGCCCAAAAAGAAAAATAAATGTTTTCCTTTTTAATTTCAGTAATGTATACAGAAGGGGTTACTAGCCCCTTGCTCCTGGAATTTTAGTTGCCTCATACGACATGCATGGCTTACGGAAGAAGAATTTTGTTCCACTTTCCCATGGAGATATGTGGAAATAAACAAGAACAAGAACTAGTAAGAAAACTGAAGAAAACCCAGAGGGGTGTGTGTGTATATATATATATGCAAGTGCAGTGTAAGTAGAAGGGGCAGGACATACCTGACACCTTGCATGTATATGAGACAAAAAAGACATCAGGAATCCTACCATCATGTAAAACAATCACAGGTTTCCATTTTACACTCACTTGACAGGATGGTAATACAGTGGAACCTCAGTTTTCACCTTTAATTCCTTTCAAAGAGTCCGACAAAAATTGAATTTGACGAAAACTGAAACAATATTACCCATAAGAAATACATAATGTAAATCCAATTAATCCGTTACAGACACCCAAAAATATTGGCAAAAAATACATTTTATAGAGAATAACTATAGTTTTACATACAGAAAACAATGAGGAATATATATAAAGCACTAATGAATTGGATAAATGAACATTTAAATCACTTTTACTTTTACTGAAGACTCTTGTTGGCGTATGGAAGACAGCAAGGAGGGGAGAGGGGGAGAGGTTATCTCTACCATCATCACTACCACCCTCTACCACCAGGACAACAACTACCACCATCACAACCACTACCACCATCTACTACCATCGCTACCACCATTGAATTCTATCGTATTTCTCGATTTATCAAAGAGCTGGTAGTCGGAACTTTCTTTGGCCCCATAGTGGCTTATTTAGCAGTCGCACTCAATAAACAAGCACAAAAAAAATGGATTATTACAAAATGTTTTGTATGAATGCGCAGGGTAATGTTCAGTCGATGAGAAACAAAGCCAGATTGACTTAGAATGCGTGCGTGGGATGCTCTGTGTGGCCGCGGGCAGACGGACACATTCGGTACGGTGGACGAAAACCGAGGTGATGAACGAAAACTGGGACAATATTTTGACGCAAAAAGTTGTCAAAAACCGAATTCAACGAAAACCAGGGCAAACGAAAACCGAGGTTCCACTATACCTTCCTGGGCAGTTGTTGTCTACCAACCTACTACCTAGGTAAATGGATATTTACATTGTGTTAAATATATAATACATGTCTTCTTCTCCCCACAAAAATAATTTATGATGTTGCAAGAAAAATTTCCACAATTGTTGCACTGATTGACCATGTGAGGATAAATGGATAGGAGTATTGCCAATATTTAATCATATGTTTGTAAAGCAATTTATTTTGAATATAATGTGTAAAAGTCATGATGATGTGTTCATAAATAGTGATGTTATTACAACAAATATTTCACAAACATATGTTAGAGATAGAGATACCAATCAGTTTTTTTTCATGAAACCAGTGCTAGTAAAAACCTATGAAAGGGGTCTAAAACAACTCTCGTACAATGTAATACCCATGCATAGGCCCTACCTGATGGCCCCATCATAAAATTTCTTGTAACTGCAATAACTACACTTAGAATTACTGTACAGAAATGAGACTTACACCAAAATGTTGCCCCAATTTTGGGTAACTTTGACTTTTTTGGAGTTACCCTAGGTAATTTACACTATGTATGATAAATGTACTTATGTGTACCTGTGCATATATAAACTTCCTTACTCCTAAGCAAACACCATTTTTTTCATATAGGATCAAAACCATTGAAAATGCAACGTTTACACTAAGTGTAAACAATTATTTGGGAGTACTTTAAGAGCCTGTTTGGCAGGGCTCTCCTTTCTGTTTGTGCACGAAAACTTTATCACCCTAATGTTTTATTTAACTTAACTGCTATTGCAACTTTTAATTAGTTACATTTTATTAACAGACGACAGTGTACCCTAGCCAAACCTGAAGATATCCAATTTAAGGTTTAGCAGACAGGGTGGATAAATTATTTAGGTTTAGCACATTTTATGGGGAGTGCTAAATGCATTAGAGTTATGCAACGCCTGCAGGAATGGGAGGCATTCAGAACAAATCCAAGGAAGGGAAGCAAAGGTCCAATTCCTTAGATCATGCACTCACCAGGATCAAGGAACATCCTTGAAAGGTTAGATTTAACCTAAAATAACGTAATAGTTTGGCACAAAGAAAACAAAAATCTGAATATTTACTTGTTGACTTGACTCTATCTTAACTTCTCCAAGTTTCAAGCGAGAGAGAGAGTGCGGAAGATGAGACTCTGCTGAGTTGTGGCTGCCCCCGGCAGTGTCCACTTCATCTCCAGCGCTTTCATCAGGTATCCCGGGGGGCAGTGCTCTCCACCCCGACACAGAAGTTAGTTCTATTATGGAGTCACGCTCCTGAGGAGTCAGTGGCGCCAATGGAGTCCTGTCATCTTCCCAGTTTGCTAAATTGTCTCGTACCCGGGCAATGTTTACATCTGCCACGTCTTCCATTTTTGTTTTGACACTGACGTTTGAGTTTGAACACATATTTTAAAACTAGGTAAATATGTATTAACATCATTTTACTCATTTTATAATACAAATAAAATTATAATAACAATAAATCTCTGATACCTTTTTATTTATATAAAAGTTTGAGTGTAACATTTTCAGAAATAAATCCTGATGATGGTCAAAGTCAAGTCAAAGATGTATTGGTCGTGGAAACATTGATTGTATTTTAATAAATGTACTAAGAAATTTTCACATCTTTCCTACTTGCTGTGAATTACATTTTTTCAACTTCAATCAAGAGTATAAATATTTTGTACATTTCGTGAAATATAGTTGTCGGTACGAGTGAGCCAATGAGAGGTGGTGTTTAAAGTGGTGGAGAGTTGTTATTGGTGGAGGAGGAGGAGGATCAGCAGGAGTCATGTACAGCACATCAACACTCCAGCTACAGTGATGGCTGCTGCCTCGTGCAACCTCGTGTTACCCACCAACATTTAATTTTTCCGCCGACGTTTTAGGTTTTGAACAGCATTTGTTGGCGGGAGGTAGAGGTGTGTATGGTGTTAGGAGGTGGACAAGGGCAAATAATTTTAATGTCCGGTGTAATGGGGAACCCATTGTAATTAATATTTTATAATATGCAAACCCCACATTGTAATCTTTACACAGAAATAAACATTTCAGTTTCAGTAAAATATCTGACGCCTACATGTCACGAGACCTAATAGGGAACAGTGTAGTAAAGCGAATGCCAGAGTAAAGTTCCTGTACAGACAAGCACAGTGTCTACCTACTGAGGCTCGCAGGACCCTGTGTCTACCTCTTATACAATGTCATATAGACTACGCTTGCTCTTCATGATACTCTGCCTTGACCAAAAAAAAAAAAATTGCAAATCACCCAGAACAAAATGTTAAGATTCAACCTGGACCTGGGTCCAAGAGAACATATAATCAAATCAAATCAAATCAAAGTTTATTCTCTATAAGGATTACAATGCGGGGTTTACAGATTTTATTGTGTGGTTTACATGTAATAAAATACTAATTACAGAGGGGACCACTAGAACACCTAGCAAGGCTAGCCATTTCGGGCACAATGAATTAAAAGAATTGGATATGCTGAATGTTGAAGACAGAGTAAAACAACTAAAGTTAAATCAAGTTTATAAAATTGCTCATGAACAGTGTCCAGAATATCTTGCTGTCAGTTTTGTCAAGACTGGGAATCAAAGCAGTCATAGTACTAGGGGGAGAGAGCTTAATTTTGTAGTACCCACAGTCAGTGGCCAGGCTTTGAACACTTTTTATTGTACAGCAATAAAGGAATGAAACAGACTGCCTGTGGATGTCAAAGCCAGTCATATCATGAGTCAGTTCAAGAAGAGAGCCAAAAGGTGCCTAATGAATGTAGTGACAAAGGGAGGAGAGTGATTTTTTATTTTTTTTGCTGACACACATGTAAATATAAATAACTCATTTTACCATATTCCTAGTATGTCTCCTTTGCAGTATAATACAGGTTGGCCATCACTAATCCGGCATCATTGGAACCTACAATATGCCGGATTAGTGAGTTTGCTGGATTACAGAGTGGTTAGGTTAGAATACACTTAATTAACCTATCAGTAGAGACTCTTTCTGCTACCTCTTCCTTATTATCATCACTGCTTTCTCTTCCACTGGCTTGCTGCTGTGGATTTACAACCCTCTGCACTATTTCTGAGTCAGTATAATGATGAAATTTGAGTCAGTATAATGATTTGAGTCAGTATAATTTGAGTCAGTATAATGATGAAGTTTGAAATTATGCTAGTCAAAAATTAGTGCCAGATTACTGATGAAACTGGATAACTGATTGCCAGATTAGTGATGGCCGATTCGTAATAAGATATTATCTTTTTAGTATAATAATAAGGTATTATCTTCTTTTTAGTATAATAAGATATTTCCTTTGTAGTATCATAATAAGGTACTAAAAGGACCCCAATGGAAATAAGTCGCTTGTCTGACTTTTTTTGGGGTTATCCTAGGTTCTCTACACACACATGCTGCTATGTATGATAATCTGTGTAACTGTATTTGTGTATACTTCAATGAACTTACTTAAACAGGAAGTATCAAGGAGGTGCAGCTAGTAGACGTTCATCACCAGAGGGAAACCTTGAGGCACAGTGCACATATAAAGAGGAAATTAACCTGATACTTCCATCATGGTTGCCAAAAGTAAGTATATTATTGTTTAACTACAGTTCTTCATATGAGCCAAAAATACGATTCTTACAAGGTCTCACTGGTAACCTTTATTAAGGCTTCATCCTTAAGTTTGAACTCAAATTATTTTATGTAGTAAATTCCCCTCAAGGGAGGCTCCTTGATGCTGGTGAGGGATTCTTGATGTAGGGAATTGGATCTGTGCTCTGGTTCCCTGAATTGAGCCTGAATACCTTCCAACCCCCCCCCCCCACATGTGCTGTATAATCCTATGGGTTTAGCACTCCCCCATGATTATAATTATAATAATAATATGTAGTAAATTATACAGAATTGACAAACTTGAATTTTCTAGCTAAAATATGCCTATATATAAGTTACTTCAAAAATATTAAGTTTCACTTATTTTTCTTGAAAAATTCAATTGTACCAACAATTCAAATTAAAAGTATGATAATTCATGTATTTTAGCTAAAAAATGAGGTATAAGAATAAAGATTTTATTTCTTTGTGAAGGTTACAATGTGTAATTACAATTTTGGTTTACTAAGTACAAAGAAAGCCACTATCATTCCGAGGCATTTCGGGTCAGACTAATCCTAGTACATAATAGCTATTTAAATCTAGACAAGATAAGAGTGGTTAACTTTCTATATTTAATCATAGGCTAACTTAATATGGTCAGCATGATTTATTTTCATACATTTATTTTTACTAGTTGTGTGCCAAAGTATCAGCAGTTTTTATGGCACTGGTGAAAAAGTTGTCAGTACTTTTAAATATAAATATATGGAAGAGTTTATCAAGCTTGACACTGCTTCAGTATAGACTTCAGACAACTGTTGATCTAATTACATCACTGGAAGGCATCCCAATTATACATAGCATTTTTGTCTAGATGAGGGGTGGGCAGTGAATTAATTTTCTTGGGCAATTATGATAAATTGCTGGCTAGACAAATATTGCAAAGAACTTAAGATTCTATTCATTGACAGTTGGGATAACTTATGTGGCAAATATATATGCAGTGGATGGGATGTATCTCTTGTAGGGGTGATAGTATTGGCCAATTCTTGAAGGAGTCATTGCTAAATTGTCTGACTTTAAACTGATAAAATAGGAATAGTAAAAATATAGAACATGACCTGTCACATTGAGCATGGGAGTGTAGTAAAGATTTGGTCAGGTCACATGTCAAGTCACACTGACTTTGTAAATGGTCCAAGTCGGACCGAAACATCGTTGTAAGCTCCTCTCTTCTATGTGCGGGTTATTTGTGTATCGTCCCAGTCACGGTATTGTGCCTTTTTTTGTTGTTTACGAGTTACATGTCAGGCATAGCTTCAATTTCTTGCAAATTTTTATTTATGATAAATGAATCTAATTTATATAACTCTGAACTAATATTGATATTGAAATCAGTACTGTTGTTTTTATGGAACTTGTTTCAGTTATATTAATTTCATCCATAGACCTGCTTGATACAACTTTCTTGGCCTTTGGAAAATCAGTTGTGTACTTAAAATCTATTGCATGAATAAACAGAGCATTAGATTCTTGTCCAGTTCTAATGCTATATTTATGTTGTTGTAATCTTAGTTGAAAGCTTTTCCCAGTTTCACCATAATAAACTTTATTGTATTTTTTACAGGGAATTGTATAAACATAGCCATCAGATTCCTCGTAAAAAATACAATAAAGTTTATGGTCAGACTAAGAATTGAGATTGCAACAACATAAATATAGCATTAGAACTTGAGAAAAATCTAATGCTCTGTTTATTCATGTGAGAGTTTAACCACATAATTGATTTTCCAAAAGTTGAGGAAGTTGTATCAGGCAGGTCAATGATTGAAAGAAATTAAATTGAGTCAAGTTTCATCAAAAATAGTACTGATTTCAATATGAGTATTAGTTCAGGGTTACATAAATTAGATTCTTTTATAATAAGTAGGATTTGCAAGGAATTTAAGCTGTCTAACGTGTCACTCATAAAATTTTTACTTGACATGTGACCTGACTATATCTTCACTACACACTTGTGCTCAGTGTGATGGGTCATGTGAGAGGTCATATGTGAGGTGAAATCTCAGCCATATAAGTCTTCTATTCTATTATTTTTACTATTCCTTGATAATGTGAGAAATCACAAAAGTGCCTGGAATTTCAAAAATATTTCACTGTGGTTATTTTGCATATTGCGATATCACCTATTTACTGTGGTCTTATTTCATAAATGTACATGTATATATATATATTTTTTTTTTTTTTTTTTCAGAAAGAAAGACAAAGCGTTTGACTTTTAAACTCAAGTACAAAATAGAGAAAAAAGTGAGGGATCACCATAAAAAGCTAAAGAAGGAGAAAAGAAAGCATCCAGAAAAGTTTAAAAGTACAGTATAAACCTATTTTTAATTGTGGGTAAAAAGCTGAATTATTAACTTCAGCTTTACTGCTTCAATTTTAATTATATATTATAAATATTTTGTTGAACTTGGTTTTTAATCTAGAACCCAGAGCTGCTTTTTCTTATTACATAATAAATATTTTTAATGTTTAATCTGTTTTAGAAAGAACAAAAGATCCTGGAGTGCCAAAGATACTCCCATTCTATGACAAGGTCATACAAGAGGCAGAAGAGGCAAAGGCAGCAAAAGAACGTCGCAGGGAAGAGGCTAAACTTAGAAGACGTGAGCAGCGAGCTCAAGTTCTCGCTAAAAAGAGGGATATTGGGTATGTTAAAAATTTGTGAGTTTCTAATGCTGTACACTACAGTACAGTGGTACCTTGGGATACGAATTTATTTCGTTCCAGAAGGCTGTTCGAGTGCCAATACCGAATGTATTTGTTCCCATAAGAAATAATGTAAATTAGATTAATCCGTTTCAGACCCCCAAAAACACACACAGAAAAGCACTTACATAAATACACTTACATAATTGTTCGAGTTTTGAACTGTTTGTATCTTGAGGTACCACTGTACTTGTAAAGGGCAGTGTACATGGGAAGAGCAGACAAATGATCTTTTAGTTTCTTGCAAGGTTATGCACCAAGGAATACTATTGTAATGCTGGCGTTTTTTTTTTTTTTTTGTGAGCTAAGAAACCAAATAACTACTTGTAGTATCTTATTCATTTGGAAATGGGTTACATCTTGAAAAGATTATCCTCTGTCTTCCACAAAAATTTTATAAACAAGAATTAAAAATGTCTGTATGTATACCAGATGTGTGTTCATAGTAATATATTTAGTATTTTAATCATTGCTTCTCTAAATGGTCCACCCATGTCATCTATACATATAGTTCTCAGCATTTCTAATGACATGATCTGCACATGAGGTAAAAGGAAAATGAGTACCATTTTTAATGAAGTTTAGGCAATTTGTATTCAACCTGGACTCCTCATGTTTAGTAAACTGCATGCCCCATCTATCTGTTTGTAATATAAGCTGCCAATGTGAATATCTTAGTACTGACTCTTCCTTTAGTAAATCCAAACGGTGTCAGGACCAGAGGATAGAGCTCTTTATCTTCAAACAGGGAGGTGTAGTAGCAGAGCCATAAGCTTGAGCTAAATACCCTCAACAGTAGCTGGAGCTTAACCCTCTTAAGACGAAGGTTAGGAGCTGGAGCCCAGCCTCAGTTATGTAGATGGGTACCAGGCCAGGAACCATAGCTCAATATCCTCAACTATCCCAGTAGCTAGAGCTCAGCATGCAAGCGCAGGAGTTGTAGATCAACAGTTTCAATAGGCAAAGAAGCTGAAGCTTAACTTTCAGACACGGCTAATTAGTTAACAGATTATAGAAAGTCCGTCAAGTTACAATATTATTCCTTTCTAGAAGATGTATCATACCTCAAAACTATCATGATTCAAACCCCAAAATACATGGTTTTATGGCAGTTCGTTTCAAAACTCCAGAACATACCCAACCTCCCCTGGATATTTTTTGTTGTTTAAACACTGGGGTTCAGCTTGAAATCTCCAGTGGCATTGACACCCAACAGAAGAGTAAGTCCATCTTTCATAGGATTATGCTCAGGCAAAGTGACAGGATAGGGCATAATGGCTTAAAGTCTTAAATATTTACTCGCTGGAGTGGAGGGCCTTGTCCCAAATCTGTACACTGCCATAACATACTGGAGTGAATGTGTCATGGGAATCCCTTCTACCTGATCAGAAGTATAGAAAAATAAATAATAACTTTGAGGAAGAATAATAATGAAAAAATTAAAAAGTATTAAATTAAAAAACAAAAAAACAAGTTGGCTGCTGTTGGTTCCAGTCAGTGAGATCTTAAGATGGGAGAATCTTAAGTCCAGGAGATCTTAAAATGTACTGTAGTTATGATTAGTTATCCTGGGTAGGTGGTGTTGGTCTTATGTTGCATAGATGATGTATCTCTTGTCAGTACTGGTTTGCAGTATCTAGCTCCAGATATCAAAGGAGAGATGAGTATCTATATCCCACTAAATCCCATCACCTGGGTTCTAGCTCCCATACATTGAGTGTCTATTATGGGTGACCCTGCCAGCAGCAGAGCTGATAATTAAAAAAACACTGGTTACAAGATGGTTATTAAGTATAATATTGAAGAAAGACAAAGGGTGGTAATTGTATTCCAATGTCATTACTGGTAACCAGGTTAAATGCAAAATAAATGAAACAGTATTCCTGTTAGATCAATTTACCTGATCAGAAGAGTAGAGGTGAAGTAATTTCCCAAACTTCAACCCACACTGGTCAGGTAAGGTTAATACTACCAGGAATAAAAATTAAAGAAACTCAGACCCGAAGAAATCTGGAGTTTTACATCGGCCCACTAGATGGCAGTGCAGGCAGCGACACTATAAGAGTTCCTCAGAGTCTGAAGTACCATAAGCCCATTTCACTGACTTTTCCCTCGGAGAGAGATACGGGAAAAAGTGCAAAATAGACCCAGGAAAAAGCATGGGCACAGTATAAGAACATTGTATCAACATCTGTGGCCCCAGACTATTCAGCATCTTACCAGAAGATACCAGAAACACTGCTGGGACAAGTGTAGAAGTTTTCAAGAATATACTGGGGAAGTATCTTTGCCAGATACAAGATCAGACATGCTGTGATGGATATGAGGGACAGTGAGCCAGCAGCAGCAGCAGCTTGGTTGACTAGGCAGGCACCAGATGGTAGGCAGGACAGGGTAGAGAAACGAGCCAGTTATTCACCTAGACAGTTTACATACAGTGGGTGAATAAGAGAGACAGAAGAATTGAGTACCTTTATTGTTGAAATGTTTCGCCAAATCTGCAGGCTTTTTCAGTCGGATAGAGGTAACTAAATATGAAGACAACCAAATGGGTGGAAAGATAAAGATGAGGTGATTGGTCCTTCAGCATTGATGTAGTTTTGAGATTCAGTCCCTCAGTCTTAACCCTTTGAGGGTCGACAGGCCCTCTCCGAAACTCGTTCTCAGGGTCGGCCAAATTAAAAAAAAAAAAATTATTTCTCTTATGAAAAGATAGAGAATCTTTTCCCAATCATAAGGACACCAAAAGTTTGAAATTTGATGGAAAACTTACGTAATTATGCTCTCGCAAAGTTAGCGGTCTCAGCGATGTTTACGCATCGGCGATTTTGCCGACTTTGAGCCCCATTTTCGGCCAATTCCACTGTACTAGTCGACAAAAAATATGAATATTTTGCTAGAACTCCATTTTTTTCTATCAAATGGGTGCAAGAAACCACCCATTTATGAAATTCAACTATCCAGTACAGTGGTCAGAATTTAGCAATTTTGCCAATTTCACACAAATTTCAAAAGATGCCAATTTCCGAATAGGGTCCAGAATAAACAAGAAAGACATTCCTGGCACTAAAATGACATTTCCTCTGGCCATTAGTCACGTCTCAAGGCCCCTCTTATATTCTTTTGCTTTCCACTTTCAATTTTTATTCTCACAAAAAATATAAGATTTACTGTTATGCAGACTACTGCATTAGTGTAAAAAATGGTATAAATATTATTGGTGCACTTGTGAAAGAATATTAGACTCGCCAGTTGACGTGTATTGCATGCTTGGCACGATTTGTTTACTTTTGAAATTTGGTAAAAATCGAACATTTCTGCTACTTTGAGCTCAATTTCAAGGTACCTTTCATTGTAAAATCAGTTAAAATCATCTCAATTTCTGTAATATGTCTTCCATTCTATAAAATGAGACCAAGAAAACTAGAATACAACAATAAATACCATACGAAAATACAGTGCAAAGTCGCTGTTTTATTCCAGAAAAATGGTCAAAGTTTTTTTTTTCTCATTATGCACTGTGTGCTGCAGGATTTTTTTTAGACTGTGCACACTGACCACATAGACCCATTCTTTCATATGAAGGCCTACCAGCTTTCTCCCACTAGATTTGAGGGCGCTAGAATTTAGGCATACTAGTACGTCAAAAACCCTGGGTCGTAAGCCGTACTAGTACGTCCGAAACCCTCAAAGGGTTAACAAGTGTAGTGGCAACCAAATTATATTGTCTTTTAATTTGATTAATTATTTTGGCCTTTGTTTATGTGAAATAACAGGTTTGGAAGGCTAAGAATAATAGCGAAGAATGGGATATGTCCTCAAAATTAACTTCCCTTAACCCTTTGAGGGTTTTCGTCGTACTAGTACGTCTTACGAGTAGGGGTTTTTGACGTACTAGTACTCATAAATTCTAGCGACCTCAAATCTAGTGGGAGAAAGCTGGTAGGCCTTCATATGAAAGAATGGGTCTATGTGGTCAGTGTGCACAGTCTAAAAAAAATCCTGCAGCACACGGTGCATAATGAGAAAAAAAAAACTTTTTCCATTTTTTTTTAATAAATCAGCGACTTTGCAGTGTATTTTCGTATAGTATTTATTGTTGTATTCTAGTTTTCTTGGTCTCATTTTTTAGAATGGAAGACATATTACTGAAATTGAGATGATTTTGACTGGTTTTACAATGAAAGGTGCCTTGAAATTGAGCTCAAAGTAGCAGAAATGTTCGATTTTTACCAAACTTCAAAAGTAAACAAATCGTGCCAAGCGTGCAATACACGTCAACTGGTGAGTCTAATATTCTTTCACAAGTGCACCAATAATATTTATACCATTTTTTACACTAATGCAGTAGTCTGCATAACAGTAAATCTTATATTTTTTGTGAGAATAAAAATTCAAAGTGGAAAGCAAAAGAATATAAGAGGGGCCTTGAGACGTGACTAATGACTAGAGGAAATGTCATTTTAGTGCCAGGAATATCTTTCTTGTTATTCTGGACCCTATTCCGAAATTGGCATCTTTTGAAATTTGTGTGAAATTGGCAAAATTGCTAAATTCTGACCACTGTACTGGATAGTTGAATTTATAAATGGGTGGTTTCTTGCACCCATTCGATAGAAAAAATGGAGTTCAAGCGAAATATTCATGTTTTTTGTCGACTAGTACAGTGAAATTGGCCGAAAATGGGGCTCAAAGTGGGCAAAATCGCCGATCCGTAAACATCGCCGAGACCGCTAACTTTGCGAGAGCATAATTCCGTAAGTTTTCTATCAAATTTCAAACTTTTGGTGTCGTTATGATCGGGAAAAGATTCTCTATCTTTTCATAAGAGAAAATAATTTTTTTTTTTTTTAAATTTGGCCGACCCTGAGAACGAGTTTCGGAGAGGGCCTGTCGACCCTCAAAGGGTTAATGACAATCACTGATTTCCTGAAGTACAGTACATATGCATGCATTATTATTTAACTTGCAACAGTTAGGAACAGTGTTATGTACATTATTTTTAAGTTTGTGCTTTTTTTTTTTTTTTTTTTTTTTTTTTTTTTTTTTTTTTTTGAAGATTAATAGTGATTTCTCTATCTTCATTGTTCATTAGAAACATAGATGAACTCATTCGAACTGCTGAAGAACGGGGTGCCAAATTTGAGGCAGATCAAAAAAATATCCAAGATATTAATGGCAGCTTAAGTGACAGGTCTGCAAAAGCATACTACAGAGAATTCAAGAAGGTATGTTTGAATATTTTGATTTGCTAAAGCATGAACACGTAAATTGATTACAGTACATTTCTATGCCAGTTAAATTTAACAAATAAAATTAAGTACATAAAGTATCATTAATTTGCAAGTAAACAGGATTTTGAATATACAGTACAGTATATTGTATATTGTGTAGGCTATACTCCTGAAGAACCTGCGCTTTCCATGAAATAATGATGCGTGGACTGAAGAACATAAGTGAAAAAGAGAGTTAGTCATAACACCTCAAGAAAAGCTAGAAATTTTTTTCCCCCAGATTTTGTAATGCATCAAAATTAGTAGTATTTCTTATTTCGGGCATTATCACTTGCTGATCTGGAAATATGTAGAGAAGGTTGATGTGGTCCTCTTAGGCCTAGCTGGATGTCCAGTATATATGTATTGTTCAGCTGCTGTAATTGCTATCCTATAAAACTCACGTAAACCTTTTAGTAAAAGCCTTCACTTCTAAAGTATAGTACGAATAAAGTTGCAAAAATTGGTACAAAATTATCATATTTTCCGATATATAAGCCAACCCATCCTGCTTCTCCCCCCCCCTCGCCCTCACCAAATTTTCAAGAATTTTATAATTTACATATTACCAGTAGTACATAATAGCAAACTGGCATCAGCAGTGTAGCTGTAAAGTAGCTTGTCTGTAAACAATAGGTAGTATGTTGTTGGTGGCTGACCAGATGACAGACTGTGTAAGGTTCCACCTCTTTCAGTTGTGTTATGCTCTTAACCCCTTGACTGTCGCAACCCCAAATCCTGAGGTATCCCCTGGTGTTGCAAAATTTCCAAAAACAAAAAAAAAAAAATTTTTTTTCTTATGAAATGATAGAGAATCTTTTCCCGATTGTAATGACACCAAAAGAACGAAATTTGATGGAAAACTGACGGAATTACGCTCTCACGAAGTTTGCAACCTTGGCGATATTTATGATTCTGCGTTTTCGCCCACTTTGAGCCCTATTTTCGGCTAATTTCATTGTTCCAGTCAACCAAACTCATTGCTATTTCTTTAGAACTCCATTTTTTCTATTGATTGAGTACAAGAAACTGCACATTTACCAAATTTCAACTACCCAATAACGTGGTCAGAAATTTGCAATTTGGCAAATTTCACGAAAATTAAAAAATATGACAATTTCAAAATAGGGTCCAGAATGAACAATGCAGATATTCCTGGCTCTAAAATAACATTTTCTTTGTTCATCAGTCACATCTCCAGGCCCCTTTGATATTACTCTTCCTTTCTATTTTGAATTTTTATTCAAAGAAAAAATAGATTTATTGTTATGCAGACTACTGCAATATTGTAATAATTGTATAAATAATGTCAACCCATTCATGACTGCATATTAGAATGGCTACTTGGACATTTACTGGAAAATGATATCATTTGTTTACTTTTGAACATCAGCAAAAATCAAACATTTCCCCTACTTTGAACTCCATTTCAAGGTTCTTTTCATAGTAAAACCAATCAAAATCACCTCTATTTCTATAATATGTTTTCTATTATGTCAAGTGAGACCAAGAAAACGAGAATACAACCATGAATACTATACAAAAATAGACCACAAATTTGGCATTTTAATTAAAAAAAACGGTCGGAGATTTTTTTTCTCATTTGCACCGCGGTTTTTTTTAAAAATTTGGGGCACATCCACACAGACCATTCTCTCACATTGGGT